TCGGTAATGTAGGAATACACATACTTGTATATTCGTTCCAGGTTTTTGTAAAAAAAAGACTGTTAATGGAATGTGTCTCATCATTAGGCAAGGCAAGGTAAGGCAAGGCAGGTTTTTTTTTATAGCACATTTCATACACAATGGTAATTCAAAGTGCTTTACATAGAAGAAATTAAAATAATCAAAACAAATAAGAATAATTAAAACAGTTTAGAATAAAAAATAAAGTACAGTAAAAACAGTTGGACGAACAGTGGCACAGTGCTCATTCAGTAAATGCACAGCTAAACAGAAGTGTTTTGAGTCTGGATTTGAATGTGACTACTGTAGGAGCACATCTGATCTCCTCTGGAAGCTGGTTCCAGCTGCGGCTGGCATAATAGCTAAAAGCAGACTCTCCGTGCTTAGAGTGAATCCTTGGTATTTCTAGCTGATGTGATCCTAATGATCTGAGTGATCTGTTAGGTTTATATTCAGTGAGCATATCTGCAATATATTGAGGTCCTAGCCCATTAAAATATTTATATACCAGTAATAATACTTTAAAGTCAATCCTAAATGTAACTGGGAGCCAGTGTAAAGATCTGAGGACTGGTGTGATATGTTCATATTTTCTGGTTCTGCTCAGAACCCTGGCACCAGCGTTCTGTATGAGCTGCAACTGTCTTATGGTCTTTTTAGGAAGGCCAGTGAGGAGTCCATTACAGTAATCCACCCTGCTGGTGATAAAACCATGCACAAGTTTCTCTAAGTCTTGACTGGAAACAAAGCATCTAATTCTTGCAATATTTTTCAGATGATAGTATGCTGATTTAGTTATTGCTTTGATATGACTACTAAGGTCTGACTCTAGAGATACACCAAGATTCCTGACTTGATTTTTAGTTGTTAGACCCCTAGAGTGAAGGTATGCATTCACCTTGGGAACTTCATCTTTGTTTCCAAATGCAATGACTTCAGTTTTGTCTTTGTTTAACTGAAGAAAGTAGAACCATTAGGAACCATTCATGATGGGATCAAACTAATATCCTGTGAAAATCAAATAAGATTCTATTGGATGTTATTTTTTTCCCTGTTGATTACAAAATTATGATTAAAATTCCATTAGCTTTTCTTTAGGTTTTTTTTTCTTTTTTTTTTTTCTGTTAATTGTTGTTCATGCCATCTCATTTGTTCTATCAATATATAAAAAAATGTGTGCTCTATGTCTCTATTTGTCTCTTTTTCAAGTGGACATCTTGAATAAAGTGGACTGGTATACATGGATGCACACACCAGGAATGCCCCCCCGCCCCCCACCAGAGCACATGTTTGAATGTGTGTGTGTGTGTGTCTATTCTTTTCAGCCTGAAAAAATAAAAAAATTCACTGTATTTATTTTTTTATTCTCCATCCCTTACCCACCTACTTAGGTTACCATCATTTGCATTTTAAAGGGGTGACCCCTCAAAAAGAAAAACGTGGTAACCTACACATTTATAAGCCAACAACACACTTTCACAAATCAGAAGTTACTTGTCCATGAGCAGAAGTCCATCAGATTCATTACAGTCAATCTCCACACGCTCTGCTTCTGTTGACTGGACGCTCCTTATTCTGTAGGATACAGACATAAATCAACACAGACGTTACCCCATACAGTATTTCATATGTAGTAACATCAGAGTTAGTATGTACTAACTATATGTACTGGTTTCAGTTTGAGTTTGACATGTAGAGTGAATAAAGTTCTAAATGAAAATTCTTATGATTGTGTTTACAACTGGTATTTGATCATTTCTACTCATTTATTTTATTTTCTCATTTATTTTATTTACTCATTTCATCCAGGTCTTTGCAGGCTCTGTGGTCAGTGGACTATTAACTGCTTATTGTATGTAACGTTATGAGTTCAAATACTCCTATTGCTTTTGTTAAAATGTTGGCATTATCTCCAACAAAGTCCCAAGACAGTTTCCAAACGCAAACTGACCAAATAAAGCTCAGTGGCTTTACAATGTGTCCTGTGCTGAACCACATAAAACCCTACCAGAATCAGTGGTTCAAGGTGATAAAATGTTGTGTTTTAGTCATGGAGACCATCAAATCCCACTATTGTTAACATTAAATTGTTGGCATTATATCCAACAAAGTGGCCCAAACTCCAGGATTCAGTGTGACAGTCACAGTAGCACAAGTGGCTAAACACATGTTATCTGGTAACAAGACTGTGATTGAGGCTTGGGTTCAAATCTCACAACTGAAAGCTTTAACTGGTTTATTTTAGGAAATCACAGGTCACATACAAGTAAATAGTGAAATATAAGTTCCTTCACATGAACAGACAAGAGATCTGTGGCTCACTGGTAAGAGCGCTGCCTCACTGGTTCAGAGGTTGCTGGTTTGATCCCAGCCTCACTCTTGCTTGCATTAAATTGATGTGATTATATCAAAGAAAGTGGCCAAAGCACCAGCTCTCAGTGTGAAAGCCACAGTGGCACAAGTGGCTAAACACACGTTCTGTGAAGGTAAGGGATGTGCTGAAGTTAAGGTTCAAATCCCACCTCAGTTTGCTCTCCCCACAATTTAAATAAAAATGTTATCAATAGTTGTTATATCAAACAAAGTGGCCAAAACACCAGATCTCAATGTGGCTAAACACACGTTCTCGGCTGATAGGTTGCACTGGAGACATGGGTTCGATCCGCACCTCAGCATTATTTATTGTAAAACCACAGGGCTCGTCCAGGTGAAAAGTGAAGTTCCAGCATATGTCTCAGCAAGAGATCTGTGGCTCACAGGTAAGAGCGCTGCCTCATGGTTTCAGAGGTTGCTGGTTCGATCCCAGTCAGATCTCCACGATACGAGTGAATGCTGTATGTGTGAAGGGGATGGGGACGCGTCGGGTCCCCCCCCGAACCCCGCCACGATGTCCAGCAGGGGTTATGCTTCTTGATACAATCAAAAAGAAAAATTTAGCAGACTCAAAATTTTGCCCTGCCGTCCCTTCCCCACCTATTTAGGTTCCCATCATTTGCTTTTTAAAGGGGTGACCCTCCAAAAGGAAAATGATGGTAACCTACATGTTTAGTGCCACACAACAACAATCACACGTTACAAGTCTTACCCATCCATCAGCAGAAGTCCATCATTACAGTCAATGTCTGTCCACACGTCCCACAGCTCTGCTTCTGATGACTGGACCCTCCAAACACACCCCGTATTCTGTAGAGGAAATATACACACAAACATTACTACATACTGAATAACTAAAACATTCAAATCAAGTTAATCTAAATAAATGTAAACTGACTACAAATAAAAACAAGTCTTAAAGCTGTGTGAAAATATGTTGCAAAGTATATGAAAATGATTTCTTCCGTTTAAATGATGCTATGATTTGAATTAAGCCACAGTTTTACAGGCTACAAAAGGACACGAACACTGAATAGGGAAAAATCATACTTTCATGCTTAAACATGTAAACTAAAGAACTGCCCAAGTGAAGTTATAACTTTAAGATGAAACCTTCCTTCACACAACAGTAATCCTAAAATACATGTTACTATGGCAAGCCGTTTTAACTTTTATTCATTTCCAGGATATGAATTGTTGATATCAACAATTACATTTTTGATATCAACAATTACATTTTTTGATATCAACAATTCAATTTTTGATATCAACAATTTAATTGTTGATATCAACAATTGAATTCTTGATATCAACAATTCAATTCTTGATATCAACAATTGAATTATTGATATCAAAAATTTAATTATTGATATCAACAATTGTATTTTCACTAGTGAAATCTCACCATAGGCTGCCATTCAAAATCAATTGTTGATATCAAGAATTGATTTCTTACTAGTAGAAATATAATTTTTGATATCAATAATTACATTGTTACTAGTAAAAATGCGAATTCCTGATATCAATAATTAAATTGTCACTAGTCTAAATGTCTATTCTTGATATCAACAACTGAATTGCTACTAGTAAAAAAATTCATTTTTGATATCTGAAAATGTATTTCTGATATCAATATTATTTCAGATATCTAAAATGGCTTTCTTACTAGTAACAATCACATTCATGATATCAGAAATTAACATTGTCACTAGTGAAAATTGAATTATTGATATCAAAAATGAACATTGTTACTAGTAGCAATTCAATTGTTGATATCAAGAATAGACTAGTGACAATTTAATTCTTGATATCAAAAATAAAGGTTTTTACTAGTAAGAATTGTATTTGTGATATGTGAAATTGGAATTTCAACTAGTAAGAAATCAATTCTTGATATCAAGAATTGATTTTGAATGGCAGCCTATGGTGACATTTCACTAGTGAAAATACAATTACAGATATCAAGAATTATAGTTTTTACTAGTTGCAATTCAATTGTTGATATCAATAATGATCATTTTAACTAGTGAAAATGTAAATGTTGATATCAAGAATTAGCATTGTTACTAGTGAAAATGTAATTCCTGATATCAAAAATTGCCATTGTTACTAGTAGAAATATTATTCCTGATATCAATAATTATAATTTTAACTAGTGAAAATGTAATTGTTGATATCAACAATTCATATCCTGGAAATGAATAAAAGTTAAAACGGCTTGCCATATGTTTCTGCACAAGGATTGATCCCTGACAGTTTTCATTAGAAGAAAGCACTGCAGCTCAACAATACAATGAAGCAGCAGACACACACTTCACACACACACACTGATTCTATTAACACGCATCAATCCACTAGATTATTACATACAGTAAGACAACTAACAACAACAGAGACTACAACCACGATTCCTTATTATTCTACTTCATTACACAACATAAATCAGAGGACGATTCATCCGAAGCTTATACATGTACAAAGAACTACCGATTCATTTGTTTATCTAGGCCTAAAGGTCTGACAATGAGTTCAACAAGAGTGCAGTAAACAAAGTCATCTCATGAACTCAATCACTGTCTTACAGGCCACAAAATTATGAAAACACTGAACACATACAACTAACTTAACTCCCCATTCAAAGAAAGCCAGACCTACAAAACATCAGAACAATATTAGAAATCCTATACAAAGAAAACCCATTGCAAAGTGTCTAATCACTGATCTTTACTTTAATTGTTTCATGCTTGTAGTAATATTATGACATTTTATTTAAAAGTGTTTTACTCTCAGATCCCAGTCATAACAGGAAGTAGAAGAAAAGCATGAAGCAACAGGAGAACATCAGAGCTTCACACAAGACACATCTCCTGCTGACTCTAACATACATCCAGAAAACACTGCAATATATCAACTGATTCCGCTTTATAGTGTGACTATCAGAGGGCGATTCATTCAAAGATTAAAAAGGTAACGCTACAACTAGCGATTGCTTTGCAATGTAAGTTAGTGCGTGCAGGTCATTTGACAGAAATTGACTTCATGCTAAAAGTTACTTACAGGCGAGTCTTGTGTCATACTCGGTTCCCTCATTTTACCCGTCTGTGTGTCGGTTTTATTTGCAGTTGAGCTGTAATATGCGCTGTTAAAGTGACATTAAGAGCTGTCATCTTCTCATCTGCAGGATCTTCACGTGTTGTTGTGATTGTCATCAAGCGTCATGTTGTCAAGCAGCAGAAGCGTCAGACTGAAGGAGAAACACGCTTCTGCCGCCTTGAGGAGCGGAGGAAGAACTGCACTTTACTCTCGCCGGATTATAGTGGCGAGATCACATCACAGACTTTGGATCATAAAGCAGCAAAAGGAGCATGTTTAAATCCCACAGATGCATTGGCCATCTTTTACAAGCTCTGTGGCGCAGAAAATAATAATTTGCCTTTGAATGAGAAAGTCTAACAGAAAAACAGAGAGGACAGAAGAAAAATCCCATTTAAATTCATTAGACTCGATTTGCGACGGTGTAGTTTACACAAATCACCACAGGATCAATTTTTAATTTATAAGACTCGATTTGCAGTGGTGTAATTCCATAGACAGTAGTGTAATTCACACAAATCACCACAGGAGGGCGAAACTATTTTACGTTTATTAGACTCGATTTGATGTAATTCAAACAAATCGCCACAGGGCGAAACAATTTACATTTTATGAGACTCGATCTGAAAGCAGTGTAATCTGAGTGTAATTCACACAAATCACCACAGGAGGGCGAAACAATTTTAAGTTCATTAGGTTTGATTTGCAGCAGTGTAATTCACACAAATCACCACAGGAGGGCGAAAATAATTTTAGATCTGACATTTTTGAATACCGGGCGGTATGTATTTATTTAGAAAGACGATGAGACACAACAACATTCACACACAGATACTGATACAGTTGATACAAAGAATAACTTATATTACAATAAATATATTATAGCGTATATTTAGCTTATATATCAGTTTGCATATTTCAATGTCAAACAGAACAAAAAAAAAATCTATAAGAGTGGCTTTGTTTTTTTCATAATTGAATAATAAATCTAAAGAAATAGTTTGTCCAGAAATAAATACACAAACAATCTTGCAGAGAACAATCTTGGAGTTATCAGTCAATGATGACCATATTTTACCCAGCTTAAACATGCGTTAAGATAAAGTTTAAATTTAAATGATTATCATTGTATCACACATTCTGTGGCTCAGTGGATAGTTGTCTCTGGTTCAAACCCCACATTTGCTGAAGTTTTTCATTATTTAACACAAAGTTCTGGATAAAACCTGTCGTCCTGAGTTCAAATCCCACTATTGCTGACTTTCAATTGTTCTCATTAGACAAGGAGTAATGAAAACCAGTTATTGTAGCAAAAGCCATGATAGGCGAGTGGATAAACACACACTTTTGGATGAAAGGCAGTGATGAAGACACAGGTTCAAATCTCACTTTAACTGTTTTATTGGAAACTCTCAGGATAATAGTGAAATATAAGTTCCTTCATATGAACAGACAAGAGATCTGTGGCTCACAGGTAAGAGCGCTGCCTCACTGGTTCAGAGGTTGCTGGTTTGATCCCAGCTGGGTCTCTGCGATAGGAGTGTGTGAGTGGTGCGCGCCCAAAGGAGGGGGATACCAGTACGGTCTCCCCCCTGGAGCTTCCGGCACAGTCACCAGCAGTGGTTATGCTTTTGGACACAGGGGGAATTTATTTTTATTTTATTGTCTATAAAAAGATCACTCCCCGTCCCTTCTCCACCCGTTTAGGTTCCCATCATTTGCTTTTCAAAGGGGAGGCCCTTCAAAAAGAAAATGATGGGAACCTACATGTTTAGCACAGTAAAACACACATCATACATTACCTGTCCATGAGCAGAAGTCCATCATTACAGTGAATGTTTGTCCACACGACTCAGAGCTCTGCTTCTGATGACTGGATGTAATGGTCCAAACACATTCCTTCTGTAAGGAAAGACATAAATAATAAAAAATCATTACTCTATATTTTACATCTATAAATGAGAATGTGAAAGTTAGTCTAAAGACTAGTTAATAGATGGAAATGGAATAACTTAAAAGCCTAAAGCTGTACAGTGTGAAAATTATATTGCTGATGAGTATACAATATAGTATACTTCAGTAAGGCTGTATCAATAATAATCTTTAATAATTCAATTCAAATTAAGATGAGACTTTCCTTCAAAATAAACAAGAGTAATTGAAGAGTAAAATTGTATTGTTTAATGTAATTTTCAGTATTGTTTTTCTTTATTAATGTTCATAATAATTTGTATATTATATTTTGGGAAGTCAGAGTGTGTTTGCACATGTTTGCTAAGCTATATTTTGCATAGAAGTACGTGTGCAATGCAACATATGTTCCACTGATGCAAATGTTTCCCAATGATGAAGTGTAAATCAACTGTTGTACAGTTGGCATGTTCTTTATAAGGAAAGGAATGTTTTCAACTGATATATATGTACCACGAATGTAAACACTAAAGGACAGTTTTCTTTATAAGGAAAGGAATGTTTTCAACTGATATATATGTACCACGAATGTAAACACTAAAGGACAGTTTTCTTTATAAGGAAAGTGGATTGTGTAAGCATGAGGTATACGTTTATTTTAATCCAACATGTTTTTCTACCTTACAAGGAATTAGTAAATTCCTCAGTGGTGTATATAAGCTAAACACTTAGTGTACCACCCCAGAGAAACACATACAGCTGGCATGAGAGAGAGTGAGAGGAAAGAGGGGAAACACAGTAATCCTAAAAGGCTGGTTTCCTACATGGTTTTAGCTCTGTTCTGTTCTGGACTGTATATATGATGGTTTTCATTACAAAACCATGAATCAGCAGAAACATCAGAGCTTTTCACTCCAACTGACTCTATTATCAAACATCAATCCACTAGAATCAATCCACTAGATTATTACCTACAGTAAGACTATAACAACAACAGACACACACACAAAAAAACACCATTCCCCATAAATGTAAAGCAACACCAACAGATTAATTTGCTCTTCTGAAGGTCTGAGTGTGAGTTCAGAAAAAGAAGAGCAACAAAGTCTGTGTTAAACTTTCTATAGAAGACGCGAACGCCTTCATTTAATAACAAGCTTAAACAACATTTAGATTAGACACCGTGAAAATTAAACTGACGAGGCCTGCTATGATGACATTTCAGCAGAACGATGCATCAGTACAAATATAATTATACAAAACATTAAGCGTCGCGACATTATTTTACTGGAGAAATTCACTTTATGTGCAAAGTTACTTACCGCAGAGTTAAATGACACTCGATTCCCGCATTTTATCGGACTGTATGTCGGTTTATTTACTGAAATATGTACAGTTGTGTGATATTAATAACTGTCATCTGCACGCGTCAATGTTGTCAAGGATCCAAAGGAGTCGCTCTGACAGTGAACCCCGCTCACGCCGCCTAGTGGAGCGGATGAAAACTGCGCTTCAGTTTCTGTCATTCTGCTATTAATATTAGTTATATAATATTATAATTATTATATTATAAATATATAATATTATAGTAAGTACGCCTACTTAAATGTGTTCTGGGCAAGTGAATCTGTGACTTCCTTTCGGAGTCACATCCTGAGCCTACCCGGTCAGAAGTGACCGGAGACCTAAAAATGAAACTTCCTCCATCCCAGTAAAACCAATGCAATTTGTTTTTGTTCTATAATATTTATTCTTTTTAATTTTGCATTTTGAGAGAATTTGATTGAATTTATTAATATTTATGCAATATTTATGGTCTATTTTTGCCATTGAAATGAATACAATATATATATATATATATATATATATATATATATATATATATATATATATATATATATATATATATATATATATATATATAATGTAGTATTTTAGTTTAATATAGAGTCTAGGCCTTAAAAAAAATGTTTTAGGCAGATTAGCACCATCTGGTGGGAGTATGGAGAGAAAGAGTAGGACCATGGTGTAACCACTAGATGGCATCTACAGCTCTCTATGGAGAGGCATGTAAATTCCCCAGCTGTTTAGGGACACATTTACTTCTTTTTTTTTTTACAGTAAAAAAGAAAACAGCAATAATGAACAAGCTAAAGAAAGATGAAAAAATAGAAACTACTATATTAACTAAATACAATATTTATATTTATGCTATATAGTGTAAAGATAATGAACATGTATATTTGTGTAAGTCATTGAAACATAAAACAGTGAACAGTTATAAAGGCAACAGTTATAACAGCAATAATCAACAAGCTACAGTGAAAGAAATAAGAAAACTTTTTACAATATTTATACTATGCTATATTTAAACTATTTAACTATTTAATTATATACTATATATGCTATTTTTTTTTTTTTTTTAATTGTGGAAAAAAAATTCGGTGAATTTTTGTGTTTTGTCAATTTCCCATTCATTTCCTATGGGGGTCATTTTTGACAGAAGACCACAAGTGTGACAATTTTGTTACAACCACTTAGCATGCTCGGATCACAACCTTTTTTTTTTTTTTTTTTCACATACCCAATGCCATAAAAGTCACCAAGTTTCGTAACATTTCGATGAAGCTGTGATTTTTAAAAATTCAAAACAGATTTTTTGTAATCAAAATGTATTGGTGTGTAAGTGTATAAAAGTGTGTTTGTATGTGTGTGTGTGGGTGGGTGTGTCTGTTTTGCACTCTTGATGTTGTAGAGTGTCACCCCTTTACTGCTGTGTACTTTTTTTTAGCATTGTGGCCGATTTGTAGATTGTACACACAAAAATTCGAAAATGTTTTGTGTTTTTGTCAATTTCCCATTCATTTCCTATGGGTCGGTCATTTTTGACCGAAGACCAAAATCGTCACTATTTTTTTTACGACCACTTAGCATGCTCGGATCATGAGCTCAATTTTTTTTTGTATTCACATACATAATGCCATAAAAGTCACCAAGTTTCATAACATTCCGATGAAGCTGTGATTTTTAGAAATTCAAAACAGAAAATGTTTCGGTCAGAAATGACCGAGGACCGTCTGAGGGAATGAACAACATCACTGGGATGCATTTGCAATTCCCTATTTGCACATTACTCTTCATGAGTTTTCTATTAATCTGTCTTGATGTTCCTTTAACACTCACTACATTCACTACACGCCACCCAGTGGTGTAGTGATAATGAGGCAATGAATCTGTGAACTAATTTAAACAAATCTTTTTAGTGATTGGCCAATAAAA